AACCTTGTCCTGAGCTGCGTCAAAAGAATTGTGACCAGCAGGTCAAGGGAGATTGCACCTGGAGTCTGCTGTGTCCAGCTCTGGGGTCCCCAGCACAAGAGGGATGTGGACCTTTTGGAGTGAGTCCAGAGGAGGGCCACGATAATGCTCAAAGGGCTGTAGTACCTCTGCTATGGAGACAGGCAGAGAGAGCAGTGGTTGTTCACCATAGAAAAGAGAAGGCTCAGGGGAGGCCTTCGAGCAGCTGCCAGTACCTAAAGGGGCCTACAAGAAATTGGGAGAGGGACTTTTTACAAAGACATGAAGGCACAGACAAATGGTAGTGGATTTAAGATGAAAGATGTTAGATTGAGATTAGGTATTAGGAAGAAATGATTTCCTGTGAGGGTGGTAAGGCACTGGAGCAGGTTGCCCAGAGAAGCTGTGGCTTCCCCATCCCTGGCAGTGTTCAAGGCCAGGTTGGACGGGGCTTGGAGCAGCTGGTCTAGTTGCAACCCACATGGCAGGGAGGTTGGAACTGTATGATCTTCAAGTCCCTTCCAACACAAACCATTCTGTGATTCTATGATCTAGCAGGTAAGGACCCTCTGACTGGGGCTCCTAGATACCAGGGCACCACAGGCTAACAGAGATGGCAAGACAGCAATTTCTAAAGTGACCTTCCCCCTCCTGCTTTCTTCTTTTTAATTCCTTCTTACACAGCGAGCCTGTAGAGCACACTGATACAGATTGTTAGTGAGGCCACTGTCTGAACCGTGTTCTCTACTGAGGTGTTACTGTGGCTCAGAAGTGGTGATTGTCTTCGGCTTTTTTGCTGTCTGCTGCAACAAAAACTGCTGATGCGGCAGTTCCAGAATTTGGAGAGGATCCTTACTGAAAATACATGGGCTATGTTAGACTTAATCCTTTACTTTTATAATTTTATCTTTAATGACTGAGCGGTGTAATAGATTGCATGACTACATGTCGCCTTCCCGTAAATCGAGTTATACATAGTTGTTTTCACAGCAGATTAGCAGGCTACACGGGAGCAGTTTGTATGAGCACAGTAGTTCTGTAGTATAATTACGGCATTTATTGTAGAGTTGAAAATAGAAGATCAATATGCTAGGTATTAAAAGTAAACAAATGTTTTTGTCTACATCAGAAGGATTTAGGATATCTGAAAATACTTTAAACTGTTACCTACATTATTTTTCCTAACTCTGTAGGCTTCTGGCTAAAGCATTAGCTTTAAAGGGGCCTGGCACTGTTATCTCCTGAGCATTCTGAAGACAAGAACTTTGTCCAAATATTCTCTTATATGGGAACTACGTCATTTTTCTGTTTGAAGATCAGATTATTTAATTTTTTTCATAAAAGGATGGCTATTAAGGGCAGGGAAGGGATCTGGTAAAATGCCCCTCTTTTTCGTCTGGTATGAATATAAAAAGCTTTATGAATATAAAAGTCTTTCTGGGTTACTGCTTCCTGTCCATAGTAAAGGTGAAAAGATGCTGAGCAGACTTGAAGCTGCATTAAATTATTTCCAATTAATATGTGAATATGGAATTGTGATTTTAAGATCACTGTTCATCCTTATGCATTGTTGAGAAGATATGTAATCTACTCTGAAATGAGAAATACAGAAAAAAAATGGGGAAAAAAAAAGTTTGCTCTTTCAGTTAGCTCTCTAGTCTTGATTTTGTTGTTGGATGGATGTCCATAGCTTGTGATAGCTGTTTGAGTCCAGGTTTGGCTTCTTGTGGCTGCATTTCTGGGGTTGTTAGTTTTGGCAATGGAGAAAAGAGCTTTTATTGCTTTGCACTTTGAGTACAGAAGCCAAGAGGAAAATTATTCAAGGTGTAGCTGTTTGTTGAATTTGTTGAAGTTTTTAACACTAGAGAATGAGAGCTGAACAAAAGGGTAAAATGACAGTCCAATGCCATCACTAGATGCTGAGTGAATGAAGAACTTTCTGGTCTGTGATTATGAAGGCTGTTGCTGTGCCTGACCTGGTTTCTTGCGCTTAATTCTAAGAAAGATGTGGACGGAGCTGGTCAGAAGTCTTTAGTAAAATTACTTGAACCAAAATTCACACTTCCCATATAAATGTTGTCTGTTATGATGGAAATATTAGGATGGATTTGTAGCCCTAATATGTTTGTAGTCAGAGTTGAGGGCTGGCTCTAAGGGAGAAGGAAGAGGGATGGGAACCATATTAGCCATTAACTCAGGTTGAACAGATCCTTAAATTGACATCCTAAGTGATTATTCCTTGTTTTTTTTAAGCCTTCATGTGGCTGTGTCCATGTCCATGAAGTGGCCATAGATCTGACTCAGTTGCTTCCACTCATCTTTCCTCTTTAGGGCATAAAGCTGTTAAGAGAGTAGATTGTCTGCCCAGGCATTCCAGAGGAATCATTCCCTATATGATCTGCTGAATTCACCTGTCCAGTAGTAAGAGAGATGCAAGGCTGGTGGTGTTGATTGAATTCCTCTTACTTTCTGTAATGGTCGACAATAAAATGCCCTCTTTTAGTAAGCTGTGGCACCGCATTCATTTTGAGATAATTCATAACATGGTTTCAGCCAGAAATCAGTCTAGAAGTTTCTGCTCCAGAGAAACTTGATTCCTATACTACAATAACATGCTTCTTAGTTTGGTGGGTAGTGAAGCAGAAATCACACCAAGGCACCGTAGGTGGTCTTGGCCCAGGATCTCATTTGGTACTGGATCAGTGCATAGGCTGATGTTGAGTTTCCTGCTTCGCATTCAGTGGTGGATTCTGACTCTGAAGTGTTTTATGGAAGGCAGAAACTTTAGCTTATGTTTGATTTTTCTTTTCCAGGAAATTCATATATAGTGTAAACACTGAACTGCTTCCCAGTGGCACACTGCAAAATACTGACTCTGTAACTTCATTTCTAGTTATTCTAAATTATACTGAATAATCCATGAATAAGTTTATCTTTCTGCTTAATTGCTTCCCTCAAAATCCTTTTTTTCCTCTACATACTAATGAGATTATGATGTCTTTAAAAAGTTACTGTTCTAAAACTAAAGCAGCCTTTAGTTTCAATTCAGAAATTCTGGGCTGTGTTACAATGATTGTAATGAAACTTTAAGGACATCAACATCTGTGAATGCTTTGGATTTCATTTGTTAATTTCTGAGGAACTTCACTGAGAAAATTATAATGAAGTCTCTTACTTGCTGGTTCTGTATTGGTGCTAGGATGTAATGTAGCAAAGCAAATGTAACTGCTTCTCAGTTTCAGTAGGGTTAGAATGGTTTCTCAAGGTAAAACCTTCTTGTACCCATAACGTTATATTGATGCTACTATATTGGCTGAAGGAAATGGAGTAATCTTTTGATTAAGACATGTTATTTCAGGTAGCTAGGTTATGCTTCCTTTGATCTTCAGAAGGTATCTCTGGAGGTCAGGGGACTCCTTTCCCTTACCTGTATTACTGGGTGCAAAGCTTTATAGGATAGAGACAATCACCTATAGTCATCTGTTTCGTAGGTAGAATAGTGGCAGTCCTCGTCACTGCTGTAGTATGAATTTACAACAATATAAAAATTACAAGCATTTAACCTGTTTCCTATCCTATTAGTAAAAGTTAGTCCTCGTTTGCGTGTGTGTGTGGTTTTTCTCTAGTTCTGTTACCTGAATACATACTTTAAAAGGGAGGTCTTTAATAACCCCATAGTATAAACATTTATTACCAACAAACAGCATTGGTTCTCCTACTGTATAGATTTAATGGAAGGCCTGTGAGTTATATTAGAGCTGGCTATTTGATGAAAACTTTTACTAGAAGTAAACTGATGGGGAAGAATTACTTTTTGTTCAACTTGGAGCCAATTTTTCCATGCACAGTGGTGACTCTTTCTTTGCAAGAAATAGTGTATTTCAGTAATCTAAAAATGTTTCCTGTGTTTCTCTGGGTATTTAACACACTGTTACATAGCTGTTGGCCATGGGGTTGGCTGAAATCTGATTCTTCAGAGAGCCACCTCGAATGTATGCTGCGGAGAATTTTTAGATACTGTTAATGATTGTGTCATGAAACAGCTGTTTAATGAGAGCTTTGATTTGGTACTTTGTACTGTGCAAAATCCAGTCAGGGTCTGAGTTAAAGCCGCACTTTGTAAGTGTCACCAGAGCATGTGATATTCAGCAAAGGGACAGCTAATGTAGGGACAGGAACAATTAAACCTCAAAACGTATTTGGAGTTATGGTTACTTTTAAAAAGAACTGTGTTAAAATAAGAAAGTTGACTCAGAATGAAGCTAAAAGCTGCAAAATAAATATTTAACTGGTGGTGTCCTTAAAGAGTTGTGTTCAGACACAGCTGAAAGCATCATAAACCCTGACAGATGTAATCTGAAAATAGACAGGCCTGGGAAAAAAAAAAGGTCAAAGATCAGCTAGCTGAATGAATCGAAGCTTTTACTAAATCCTTCTTAAATATATCAAGAACAAAACCTCTCCAGAGGGTCTGTGCAGCCAGTTGATTGAGTTATCAATATAAAAGAAGCACTCAAAAAGGGCATGACTACTGCAGAGAAGCTAAAGGAAATGGTGTTTACTGCTAACTGGGAAGCTTCCCAAGCTGAATTTCCCCCCTTTTTTTTGTGGGGGAAGCAAGAGGCACTGACTTAAAAGACCTCAGGGATGAAATTGCTTACTTGCTAGGGGTAGCAACTGATCTTGTACTTCAGAATACCTGGGTACTTGAAGCCTGGAGGGTGGCAAATTTTATGCCAGTGTTTAAAACAAGAATGACCATGGGATTGTAAGCGTGACGTCCATGTCATTCATATTTGTAGATACTGTAACAAAGGGAAAAAGATGCCGGAGTAAGTACTATCAACTTGGGAAGAGGCAGTAGGATTGTTCTTAAAGCTGGGCTGGATGAGGCTTTGAGCAACCCAGTCTGTGCAGGGGTTTGGAACTAGATGATCTTTAAGGTGTCTTCCAACCCGAACCATTCTGTGATTTTGTGGTGTAAATTCTGCATTACAGACGTCTAGGAGATTTCTTAATGGGCATGGGAAAGCTAGCTAAGATTTAGATTCCCAAAGGGCTTTTGGTGAAGTTTGACATCAAATGCTTTTGAGGAGCCACTGGATGGAAATGCAGGGCTATGCATATTAAATAATGGTTTAAAAGATGGGAGAAAGGGATGAATATAGGAGGAAAGTTACCAGAGAGTTTCTAGTGATTTGGTCTTAGAATCTTTGGTCTTGTGTTTTTCAGTATAGTAATAACAAGGATGGTAAAGGCAGTGAGTAGTCAAATGAGGAAGTTTGCTGCTGTTACTGTTTTTCAAGGCAGAAAAGAGGGGAGGAGAGTGAAGGAAGTCTGCACAGAACTGCGTGACTGGCCAACAGGGCAGCAGGGGTGGTTGTTGGAGGCTGCATGCAGGAAGCAAGAGGAAACTTCAGCCTGGAAAAGAGATGGGTGAGGAAACATGAAAGAATGATGCAGATATCTGGAGACCTGTGGGTCATTCATCAGAGATGACAGAAGATATCTCTGATGGAGATGTAAGAGTGTGTTCTAGATGAATGTTTCCAAGAAAATCTGCAGGAGTACTTCAGAGAGAAATCCTTTGGTAGTTATGAAATAGAGCGACTATGGCAAGCTCAGGAAAACACCAAAACAAACAAACAAAAAAAACAATGAGAAGAGTATTTGAAGAAAAGTATTAAATGTGATTGCACTGTTCTTATGATTTCCCTGTCATCACTGCTGGAGGTAGAATACTGGGCCATATTCATTCTTTGTCCATACTGGTTTGGCCTTTGGGCTCTTATCCAGTAGATTGAACTGGTAAATTTGGAATCTGAGATCTAGTTTCATTCATTCATATTTAAGTATATAGAGGGTTAATATAGGTTTTAAACATATGTTTAGCTGTAGAGAAGAAAAATGCTTTTGTGTGTGTGTGACTAAGTCCTCCATTTGTTTTCCTTTCTTTCAGTATCATTTTATGGTGATAGCTTTGTGGAGTTGAACATGGTAGAAGTATCCTCTCAGATATCCTTACAGTTACGGTTTCGAACAAGCAAGCCAAATGGACTGCTTTTTCTTGCAGCTGGGAAGAAGGGTTATTGTTTAATGGAGCTACATTCAGGATACTTAGAGGTATGGTCTATAACTGTAGCTAAAAGGACATGTGTGGCTCGTATTGTTTAGTGTTTTAAGGTGGTACCTATAACAATTCTAATAGGTTATGTTTTTAAAAATGGAAAGATCACAAAATATAATTGATAATTTCAAAATATGGTATTTATTTCTTATAGTTATTAGAATTTGACTCTAAATGCCTTTTGAGATCTGTAGGTCTTAAAATGAAGATCATTGTGTTCAAAGCATGAGGTCAGTAGAGTAAAAATTTCAGATTTGATGATGTTAGCATCATAGAAAATGATTCAAATAATGTTTTTTATGCAGGGTAAGTCCTTGAAATGTTATTGTCCTTTGGGTTCTCAGGAGTTGTTGGTCCTAGCAGAACTGCAGAGGAGTCTGTTCCCTCTTCTGCAATTGTTCAAGCCATATTTGTCATGGCAGGTAAACCTGCAGAAAATTTTAGTGGATTTTTTTTTTTTCAATTACATTTTTAAGTAATGTGCTTAATACGAAAATTAATGTATTAGCTACATACTGATATATGATTGCGAAAAATACTACTTTGGATTTTGATGGTTAAAATTCTGTCTCTTGCAGTTGAGAATAAACTTTGGCATGGGGGAACGAGTACTGCATTCTCAGCAAAGATCTCAGCTGAACGATTTAGCTTGGCACCTGGTTGAACTACATCATGAACATGACAATGTCACATTGGTAATTGATAAGCAGGATACAAGTAGTGCAAAAATGCCTGGAATTTTCTATGAATTAAGTATTGATTATGGATTCTACATAGGTGGTACTAGTAAACTTGATGTTCCCTACCTTGTTGAAGCACTACCTAGTTTCCGAGGATGCATTGATGATGTATCATTCAATCAGCTAGACATTCTGAAGCCTCTGAGACCTTCTCCTGGCTTTAAAAATGTCCATGAAGTTTCAGTGGGATGCAGTGATGAATTCTTTGCAGGCGAAGATGAACCCATTAGTTTCTTCAGTTCCAGATCCTATGTTTCTTTCCCATCGTGGAATGTTGATGATGAGGGTATCTTGGAGTGTACATTGCAAACCTCAGCCACACGTGGCTTGCTGCTTTACCATGCTGGGCAAGTGGGAGATTTCATTGCAATGGAAATGGAAAATGGACTAATTAAAGCCCATGTTGGAAAATTTAGAAGTAGAACCCAGCTTTCCTCTCATAAGTCAGTCAATGATAGTCACTGGCACTACATCAAACTGAAATTTACTGCAGAATATTTGCAGCTTACACTGGATGAAGAAACTGTGAAAAAATCATTGCCTCCCTACACTAAGCTGCCGCTTCTGGAGGGGTCTCTCTTTGTAGGTGGTGTAGATGACAGCACACGATCAGAAGTGGTTAAGTTAGGGCTAGTCTCGGTGTCTGGGAAGTACGCCAGAGGAGGATCCTTCAAAGGTTGCATACGAGACCTGAAAACCAATTCAGAAAAGAAATCGCTTAAGAATGTTCTGGTAACAAAGGACATTTCAGCTGGATGTGAAACAAAGAGTGCTTTTAATACAAACCTTTCTTTAGAGATGGCTGGGAACAGCCCTACTGTGAAAGCAGCCCCAACATTTGCCATTTCCTCTGAAAGCTCTGTCTTTCTGGGCAAGGAAGACAAAAGCCACCTTTTAGTTCTTAGTAACTTGATTGTGCTTGAGGGTGGACAAGCTTCACTTGAATCTAAACATATTGAAGTCAACTTAGACTTTCAGAAATTAGGTATTCATCTATCACAAATTGTTTTTGAAATTAAAAAAACACCCTCTTATGGAAACTTGAAACTAGATCTTGAGCCAGCGCAGGAGGTAAATACATTTACTCTGCAGGACATACGGCAAGGAAAGATTCTTTATGTCCATGATGGCTCTGAGGGCACTTATGATTATTTTAATTTCTCCATTTCTACCAGCAGGGAGAAGATTGTGCCTCCATATTTGCAAGGAAGTGAGCAGCATGTGTTTAGCATTACTGTCACTCCAGTAAATGATGCACCTGAAATTATACTTCCCAAGGGAAACTTGCTTCTTCTCTTGGAGAACTCAAAGAAACGTTTGACTAGTGACCTGATAAAAGTTCTAGATAAGGATACAGCTCCTGTTGGTCTGAGTCTTTCAGTGCTTGGAAATCTGAATGCAGATGTAGGGTATTTAGAAGATTCAAAGCATCCTGGAAAAGCTATTACTACTTTTTCTAATGAGGACTTAAGAGAAGGCACTGTTTTCTTTGTCCACACAGGCATCAAGAACTCAAGGATTGTTCTGAGGGCAAGTGATGGTGAGAAGGTGAGCAACACTGTTGTGTTACGCGTCATGGCAGTTCCATTGGATTACAGAGTTGTTAACAATTTGGGAATAAAACTACTCCAAGGTGTTACAGCTCTGATCACACCTAGGCATCTGGCAGTTGAAACAAATGCCAACCTCCAGGAGCTGGAGATCCGCTACAAGATCACAGAGCCACCCCAGTTTGGGGAAGTCCAAAGGCAGCATTCAAGCGGGGAATGGAAGCGAGTCAGCTCTTTTTCTCAGCGCTCTCTTGAGCGCAGCCGTGTGAGATACTGTAGCACTTTTAAAGAAATACAGCTGGGAAATGTTACTGACCAATTTAAATTCAAAGTTAGCATAGGAAACACAATGAGTGAAGAGCATGTGTTTCCAATCAAAGTGAAATGGTTGAGATACAGTTTATCGAAACATGCTCCTCTAGAAATTGAAAAATCAAAGAAGTACTTGAATTCAGATAATCTTTTTGCTGTGATTGTGGATCTAGAAATACCAGATCATGAGCTTAATTTTAAATTGCTATCCCTACCAAAGAATGGGCAGATACTACTTAATGACCAGCCTTTGGAAAAAGGTTCAGTCTTTAGCCAGAAAGATATTATGGATCAAAAAGTGGCATATGAATTAAACTGCAGATATCATGAAGATAACATTGATTCATTTCAGTTCCTTATTTCTACAAAGTATCTGGAATCAAATGTATACAGCTTTGAAGTCTACATCAAATCATATCTCAGAAACATCATTTTGACTAACAATGGCCTTAGAGTTACTGAAGGTGAAGGAGAGTTAATAACAAACACAGAGCTGTTTGTGCAAACACCAGATAATAAAACTTTCCAGTATAAAGTTGTACAGTTTCCTAAACATGGGAAATTAAAACTCATTAATTTTTCAGGCTCATTTGAAAGCAATGACAATCTCACTACTTTCACTGACAAAGATATAACTAATAAGCATCTTATGTATGTGCATGACGATTCAGAGACAGTGTTTGATGAATTTCTTGTCAGAGCTTTGAGTTCCAGTGAAGAGTCAGGAAACTGGACAAACCTGGATCCTGAAGCAGAACCTTTGTCAGTAGAAATTAGATTCAACATTTCTGTCCAGCTGAAGAATGATGAGAAACCAGTACGTGTAATTGATAAGATATTTAACATAGTGAGAGATGGGCAGCGATTATTGACTTTGGCAGATCTTTGCTATCATGATCCTGATTCTGATTTTGATGATGGACAGTTGCTATATACTAGACGTGGCATTTCCAATGGAGAGTTGGTGCTAACAAATGATACTTCACATAGACTCTACCAATTCAGACAAGTGGACCTGGAGCAAAAGCAAGTCCTGTTTATACACCGTGGTGCGGATTTTGGGCGTTTTGTGCTGTTTGTGACAGATGGCAAACACTACACCTCTTTGCTTCTAGAAGTTAGTGCCGCTGATCCTTATGTTACTTTGGCAAATAATACAGGCTTGTTGGTTCAGAAAGGGAAAGAGGAAACTGTTACAACAGCTAACCTAAGTGCTATTACAAATCAAGATATAAGAAACGATCATGAGTTTACATATGAGATATTCTCTTTCCCAAAATATGGAAGAATATATGTAAATAATGTGTTGATGGATACCTTTTCTCAACTTGATCTGATAAAGGGGTATGTGACCTACAGGCATGATGACAGCAGCAATTTTATTGACACATTTAACTTTACGGTCCATGCTGGAGATGCCCATCTGGATGCTGGAGTGCATGTTCGCATATATTTGGAAAGTCAGCAGTGGCCACCAACAGTTGTGAACAAAAACAATCTCTTGGTTGAAGAAGGAAAACCAGTTAAAATCAGTAAAGGAAAGCTTCAAGTAAGTTAACTGTGTTGTTCATTTCTCCAGTCTTGTAGCAAGTTTTCTTCACTGCTTTCTCAGCTGTTGCAGTCTCCAGCGCTTTTAGTTTGCACTAACATGACTGCGTTCTGGACGCTTTATTCTGGAAGGGGCTGACACTAGCAATCTTCTGTTTCTAGAATGGAAAACTGGTTATGTTAAAGAAAAGGGCTGCCCATAGTCTTTGATTCCATTACATATTGGTGCTCGAGAAGATTAAGATTTGAAGATACTGCACCTGTATATTTGTTTTTTGTTGTGACAATTGCTGTTACTTCATGTATCATTCTTACTCGAGCTGGTGTGAAATTCCAGGGAATCATAGAATCAACCAGATTGGAAAAACCTTTAAGACTATCAGTTCCATCTGTTACCCCAGGACTGCCAAGTCCATCACTAAACCATTTCACTAGGTCTCAAGTACATGTTTTTTGAACGTTTCAGGGACAGTGACACCACCCCTTCTCTGGGCTGCCTGTTCCAATTCCTGGTCACCCTCTCAGTGAAAAAAAAAATCCTAATGTCCAATATAAACCTCTGGGGTTTTGTTTCATTCTTTTTGGAACTAGCCCAATTAATACTCTCTGAGGATTGCATCCAAATCTTTGAAAACATCCATTCACAAATCTGATGAGGTGCTTTCCCTTTGGTTGATACGTTCCTGCACGTTGTGTGTAGCCTTTCAGTAACCACCGCAAGGGGGCTCTGGCACCACATTACTGTGTAACTGAAATCCCTCTTTCATGCAGGGGTTCTGAGGCTGTTCGTTAACAGTTCCTTTTCAAAACACTACCATGCCATCTTTATTTAACACATGTCTACTTGAAGTATTGTATTAAGAACCATGTAACCCGAATAAGGAATCCCAGTTAATTAGAAGGAGAATGCCATGGTTGAGAGTAAAAAAATCAGAAGAGAATTATAGAATTTCTCCTGTTTCTGTTTAAGTAATTTTGGGGTGTGTTTTTAAATTTAAGGTTGTTCATGAAAACAGTTCTCCATCTGAGATTGTGTTCACAGTAAGACAGTTTCCAGTGCGTGGCTACATTCGGAAGTTTTCCTCCGAAGAAAGTTATCTCGGTGCTGACCAAAGGCCAGTTTTGAGCTTCACACAGCAAGATGTTGATGAGGGCAAAGTTCAGTATGTGCAGACAGTTCCTGACCAACTAGCTGACCGTTTTTCTCTGGATGTGACTAACGGTGTCCGAACAGTGAGTGGAATAGAGGTCTCCGTAGACATCATCCCCAGAACGATTCCACTGGAAGTACAGAACTTCACTGTGATTGAAGGGGGCTCTAAAGCTTTGGTGGAAGACTATCTCAAAATTTCTAGTAGACACTTTGTTGGACTCAGCTGTGAATTTGTTTTAATTGAGCAGCCAAAACATGGGTATGTCGAAAACTCTCATGTTCCCGGAGTAAAGTTAGCCACATTTACCAGAAAACAGGTAATGTGTTTAGATCTGCTCTGCTGTAGTCATGATGAAGTTTTGTATTGCTAAAAGCTGTGGGATGATTTGGTGAGAGGTGGTGAGATGCATGAGTTTGAGCTTTATTCTGGCCTTGTATCGAAAGATCTGTCTGCAGTTGTTAGCTGGTCATTTGGGGTGGGGAGGGAGGGTGCATTGCTGGGATAAGCTGCCACTGGTCACACAGACTAGTGTGCTGTAATCACAGCATACTCATGGCCACTCATACTCAGGAAGAGCTGATACTCTGGAAACCTAAGACAGATTGTGGGTACATTTCGAAAAGAGAAAATGGTGTGTGGATTGAACAAGGAGGAAAGTGGGGATAAAAAACCCCTCAGGTCATGGTTCCACTCACAGAGATCCAGTATATGCATGATAAGCTAAATTTCAGTCTTTTAGCTCTAAGAAGTGAAACTTCTTATCATAAGTCACCATTTAATATATGTTCAGTTTGCAGGTTCCAGGACACATTGTGGTAAGTATAGGGGGATTGGATTTTCCATTTTCCCTTGAGGAGGGAGGGGAAATGCCGAGACTTTCAAGTTAAGATATTCTGGCTAAAAGAGTGGGCAGATGATGTTTTAGTATCTTTAATTTTTCAGGTTGTTATATTTTCCAGGTGGAACAAGAATTAATCTACTATGTTCATGATGACAGTGAAGAACTAATGGACAATTTTACTGTGATAGTGAATAACACGGAATTATGGAAACAAAGCTTGCCCAAAACTGTGTTTATAACAGTTACTGCAGTAAATGATGAAGCTCCTGTTATAAAAGTTAACAGAGTTCTTCAGGTATGTTTGTAAAAATTTTGAAACATTAAAATTATATTGAACCTGATACCATTTAGTGCACCTTCATTAGCACAGTGTTAGGTTTGTATATGGTGGGATAGTCAATATAATAAGTGGTGGTTCCGGAATTTGAATAAATTACTGTCAGTGAAGCAAGGCAGTACATGGGTAGTGTGTATTTATGGAGATTCTAGTCATCATGAAGAACAAGTCAAGTTTATCTAGGAGGCTGACTGAGCTTTCCTTTTATCTAAAAGATACATGAAGTCTCTTTGGACTGAGTTAGCGCTTGTGGAGTAGGATGTCTTGCACCTGGATCACTGTTGTGTTTTGGCGTTGTTTGCTAGGGCATCTTGAGGGCTGTTGGTGAACAGTGTAGCTTTGAAAAGTGCCAAGATTAATGATGGTGAGGGTGCAAACATCTCACTGTTGTCCTTGCAGAGCCTTGAGACTGCCTCTTGCCATTAACTGTACCGAAGGGTCAGACCTGTTGAAGTGCATTCTGCTGCCTGCTCTTCTCCAGATCTCCAGTGGGGCAGGATGACACATGAGAGCAGCATTCTCACTGGTGCTTCATTAGAGAATTGACTACATGTGGAGTATTTGTGTTACAAAACAGGAATGTTTCCCTCTTTAAAAAATCCTGATAAGGATAATACATTCAATCTGTGAAAATCTGGGGTGTTAGATATCATCAAAATATTAGTGCAGACACTGAAGCTGTTACTGTGTAATACTGTGAGCTAAAAAAGGAATGTTTCTAACTCTGTTCCACCCAAATTCCTGAAGAAAATTTTAAAATTGTTGGCTGATGCTACCTTTGTCTCCTAATAACCATAACTGGCTTTGTAATCATTCAGTCTTCAAAAAAAAAGTAATTTCTGTCACTTCACTTCCTGTGCTTTACTGGATTTATTTATTTATTTATAGGACTGTTACTTGTTTGTGTTAAAATAGCACTCAGTAACCAGAACCAATCTATTATGGAATTACTGCCCATGTAAACTAAAAAGCCCCTGTGTGTAAAGGATGCCGATCTGAGATCTGATGAGTAAGAGCAAATTAGATGATTGAAAAGTAGGTTTAAATGGATATATAATAAACCTGTGGTCACAGTAAACCAGCTGGGAGGCATCAAGACAAAGATATTTAGAAATAAGTTTAAAAGAAGCTAAGCAGGGTATGCTGAGGCTCCATCCACATGTATTGTCCACAGTGCTGTATGATACAGTTTACACAGTGGTGATACCTGAAACATACACTTAATTTTACATAGTTAGTTGTGTGTGGCAAAGGGAGAATGGGTTACTGCAAAAGTGATTATAACCTTGTGTTGTGTATTTAGGCTTTTCACGTGAGGAAAGACATAGTATTTGAAGAGCAGTAGTGGTAGTATTGTGTAGCTTCGCAGCAAACGTAGATGATCTGTGATGATCTGCAGGTCTCTATGACACAAGATACCCTGCCCTGAGCAGAGGGCGCTGGCAGAAGGGCAGACTCACTTGACAAGCATTTGGGTGGTACCGAGTAAAAACTTTAAATAAAGTATTTACAGTAGTACTCTACAGACATCAGCACAGCATGCAGTAATGTTTGTCCAGTCACAGACAAGAGTAATGTATGTCCAGTCAGAAATTTTTCTGTGTCTCCCTTCTGGTGCATTGCTGGCATTGAACTGCAGTCTGTTAACAGAGTTGAGGCCTTGCAGTGCTCTGCAGTGCAGCATATGGATTTTTCTAAAAATATCTAAGTCTGGTCATCCCAGGAACAGTGGTAACAGAGCTTAACCTAGCCAAAGTTGGCCCTCTCTGCTGGGGAGGCAGTTTGCATACCAAGAATTGGGATGCTGCCTTTGTGCCTGTGGTTTTGCTTGTCATGCATTAAGCTATTGCTGAGAAATAACCTTTAGTTTTTGCATGAGTGGGTACTTATATGCGCATAAATGTTGGATTCATGTGCAGATTGTAACAAAGCTGGCAATTGTATACTGGGAGGAATACACTGAGATGATCCTTCAAAGCAAACTTGCACATCCCAAGTAGATGGGAGAAAATGGATTTCTCTTGGTCCTGCTAAATATTTAGATGAGCTAGGCATTCCTGAGCAGGGTGGTACTAGCTGGCGCCCAAACAGCCTGTGCTCTTCCAGGACATTGCTAGTGGCAAATGCTGGCGTGTTACTTTTAAAAAGGCAGTAGCTCTTTTATATCTTTTGACAGGTTGTACAAAATGTACGAAGGTTTACGTGAGGTCCAGTAGGACCATTTGGATTGACTGAAGTTTAGCACCTCAGAAATTTTGCAGGTCCCAATATAAAGAGTTAGAAAGAGCTATGGCTGTGTATGAAATACGGTTAGTGTATGGCATCTGCTGTTGAAATCTCATTTATGAGGCATCTGTAACATCCATTCAAACAACCTTGTCTGTTGTTCCGAAGGTTATGAACACCATAGGAAGAGGTGCAGGAGGACAAACAATGAACCATTTTGTAGAGATTTTTCTTATTTTTCTCTAAGAACTGAAAGTGAAGTTTTTAGCCTTTCCATTAGAATGTAAGTGCCTGAGGGATATATTTCTTTAGAACCATAGAGCATTTAAAGTGTAATTCCCTAAAATTTCCACAGGTTCTGTGGCGATTTCTTTTTTTTTCTGGGGTGGGAATGGGGAAGGGAGATAGGATCTTTTTAAGAAAATCGCTATCTGGCATTATTTGCTGCATTTATGTATATGTTTAAATATATGGGTAGGGATGCTGTGAAATTACTATATCCTCCCTTTGCCACAAGAGGGCTGTATTTTCCTAGAATTAGATTTTAAAAAATCCAATAAATTGAAACACTGATTTTTTGTTGTTGTTTTCTTAATATCACTCACTTACCAGAATAATAAAATGGCTGTGAATATAGAGTGTCTGGTAGGATGCATAGCATGCAAGGAGATACTGCTGAGCTGAATGCTGTAAGTAGAACAGAATGAATTATTTTCCATTGGGCAGGGTCGTGAATTTTTTTTTTACCATGCTGTGGAACATGCAGAATTAGTGAAATGGTACGTCCTGGAAGTTTGAATGCAGTTTTCATGGTGCTTTTAAAGGAGGACTTGATCCCAGATGTGGAAAATAAGACACTTGTACAGCAATTGCAGTATTCTGGGTGTCCACTTCCTATAGCCCTTTTCAGCCCTTGGATCTCCTTTCAGTCCTCAAGGATCATGTTGCAAGGCATGTACAGTGCTTTAAAAAGCATTGTGTGTTAGTATGCTGGAACAATAGAAGTAAACACTGTCCTTCTAGAAAAAAGCTATTTTTTTCCTTTAGGATGAGAAAATATTTCAAAACTCAGTAAGTCACTTGTAATAACATGTTTGCATAGTCCTTTCTTACGGTTTTTGGATATCCTGTACCTGGCCTTTTTATTTTCTGTTCAGAATAATCTAAATCAAGTTCTATAGAGACAAGTTAAAGGGTCTCAGCACACAACCAGTGACACTGATGTGCTTATTTGGTGCCACTCATTAAGTCAGCCTTTCTTATTAGTTATCATCCTTTGTGCTCATAGGTAGCATCTTTTATGAAACTTCACTAGTAGTAATTACATTACAGAGAAATACATATTAAAGGAAGGAAATAGCTATTTCCTGTTTGCAAGACTTCTATTATAAATTGTAATGCAAATTCTTTTTTAAGCCTTTTTTCTAACCAGAAAGCATGTATCATTTCATTTTAATGACTCTTTTTCCGTGGCACATATTTTGTTACACTGTGTAGTCTGAAATCTTTCCTCTATTGAAGTGTTGTGGCAAAAATCTCAGTGGCTTTGAAAGGTTTTAGTCCATGGTTTTTATTAAAAAGTAAAGTTAATACTTAAGGAAAAATCTGTGATTGCTCATTTTTGGTTTAGGAGAGGTAAAATGCCCTTTTACAAGGATCACACTTCCTCTTCAACCATTTGGTGTGATGTTATACCAGATATTTTTCAAGTGTACTGAGACCCTTTGAAGACAGGAAGAGACGATGCAGTATGTGTTTTGAAGCTCCAGCTGAGATTTTTAAAAGCTCAGGCTCTTGAGATTATACACTGTGATATAAACTCAGCATAGAAAGCATTGGCATTGATGGAATGAATGTTTAGGGGTTTCATTTCATGTTGAGATAAACATGTATTGTTGTTAGTACTTTTCTCTGTGATTCCAACTAAAAACAGCAAAGATGAAGAGTAAAATGGGCTGTTGCATATTGTTTCCAAACAACAAATTACCCAGTAAGACAGAGATGAAGCTTAGGCGGCAAACCCTGCTTGAAAGAAGGGTTTTTGCAGTTCATGCATATCTTAGACTAAAAAAAAAATAAATAAAAAAGCATGACTTTGCAAAGTGCTAAGTAGCTTTTGGAGGTGTTGATTTTGTCATCTCCCACTGGACTAAGCACCTCTGTAGGTTGTTTGGTGCACTGAGAAAGGGCCTTTAGCATGTGTTGTTAGAAGGAAATAAGGCAGCTAGAAGGAGGAAGATGTTTCATTTGTATTAGAGATTGTGCTGTCCCTAGATTGTTTTTTCTTTTCTGCTGGTCAAAGTAGAGCATATTGAATGCATTGCCTGCTGTGAAGTACATAACACTAATATTCATGTGTATGTGTTGGAAAGTTGCTCCTTTGACTCAGTTGTCATAATAGAATTCTGTTATGTTTGTAAGAGTTTGGATAGTGCCTGACAAATAGAGCACTCATACTGAAGCTATGTAAAACTCAAACTGGCACGGGATGTGTTTGCTTGTGTTATTTCATGGTCTTGTATTTTGAAAACTGTTTGCCAACTGTTCCAATCTATGAGGAGAGAGTCAGGAGAAACACGTCATAGCTGCTAATGTTGCACAGCAGAAATACTTATTGTTTTCTTTGAGGACTTCTTCCCCCTCTGATTTTATTTTGTATGCATTTTGTTTATTACTATTAATATTTTTTTTTTTTGCTTTTCTAGGTCTGGGTGGGTTCAGTCACAGAAATAACTATTGATGACCTCTGTGCAGAAGACAAGGACTCCTCACCATCAGAACTCATATATTCCGTTACTCCACCTAGCAATGGGCACTTGGCTCTGAAGTCTTCTCCAAACAAGAGCATCCTTAGTTTTACCCAGGCTCATATAATTGAAGGGCAGCTAGTATTTGTGCACAATGGTATGTGGTTTCAAAAGTACCACCTCTGTTACCAAAATACTGCTCCTATTCCATACATTTGTAATCCTTTGAAGATCTCCTTGTAATGTCACAAAAATCTCAAAGCACCGGTTATGTAACACATAGTCTCACAACTAAACAGGGAGGGGTCTGATGTCTACTTTAATGTGTGCTTACCAAGAAACCTTGGTGTATTAGTGGTTCTGTTGGTAGCAGCCTTCTTTCTGAATGCAGGTTTGCAGAGAGGACCATTGTCATGCAGCTTTCAGAGACTGGAAATTCATTTTTTTGACCTTTGTCATTGAGGCTCTCCTGGAACTTTTGTGGGTTGCTACAGTGCAGAGGTACACATGCACCAACAGTGTCTCAGATACCTGTCGCAGCCTAGCTGTGTTCCTGAACAGCTCTGGGCAATGAATTTATGGTTCATCTAGGTGATGTCAATCTCCCTTTCAGACTGTGAAGGAGTTCAGAATTTAAGGATTGGCTCCTTTCTGCCAGTGGCCAGAGCTAGAGGTCAGGTTGTTCATGCTGCTGCTACAGAAAGAATGTCGGGGGAATAAAAATAAAGTGGCAGTGCTAGGAAGCCACAGGAATGAACATCCTAGCAGGGTTACAGCCAGAGGATGAGGAGAAAAGTAGCTATCGCCAACTCTACTATCATTTTACCTCAGCTGAAAGAAGAAGGGAGGTGCTAATGAAGCAATGCCAGTTTTGGGGAAGAAGACACAAGAGGTACTCTCTTCCTAGCCCTCAGAAAGGCTGGAATTGTTTGCAGTGCTCCCTTGGGTGCAACAGCCACTCTAGGTCTGTGCTGTGTATTCATGAGGCTTGGTTGCAGGTTGAACTTCTCTGACATCCCATGCTCTGTCTTGCAGAGTGCATATGTGTTGCTGAAATTGTTTTACAAGCAGCAGCTGGCAAGCTCTAAATATACTGCTCAAATAATTTGGTCAGGAAATAAAAGGTTAAGAGCATGGCAAAAGTGATCCAAGCTGTCTAAATTGTTCTGAGAGAGACTTTGACTTGTAAAAACTCCTATGGTGTTAGGATGGTGGTAGTCTCAGTGTGAGGAAATGAATCCACTCTGTGTTCTAGAATGGGAAAATGCACATCTGCAGTTTTAAGAAGTGAACCTTGATTAATAAAAGCAAAAAGAATAGCAGTTTAAATTTTCTAGTGAGTGGGAGTGTGGGTTGTATTGTAAATTTGAAATGTTAAATTGCTCAGGTGATGTGTCACCTTTTACAGCTGCTCTGAGCTGCCGTCTGCCTAGCCTCGTGGCCTCCAGTGTTTCAGAAAGTGCTTTGGACATTTTGCTGCTTTTCCTTTCTCAGTCTGTGATTTTCTTACCTTCTTCATGTTGGACTGTTGGTAGAAGTGTGCTTAGTGCTCTAATGTTACTGCTCCCAGCCTTGTCCAGGGTGTTTGCTTATCTGGTTGCTGTCATTCAGCTTTTTACCCCTTTTCTCTTGCCCCTTTCCAAATGCTCTGTCCTTCATCTTCAGTCTTCTGGTGTGTGCTAGATTCTTCGGGTTCTCCTGGGAGGAAACCCCACTTCATGGTCTCAACAGCCTGGTATCTACTCTTCCTACTCGCTCTAGCACTTCCCAAGGGGAAGAGCAGCATCTTGGCTGAGGCAGCTTTTCCATCCCCTGGCTGCTCCTCATGACACCATGGGTCTTTTACATCTGTACATGGAAGTGACTCAGGGTCTTTTGTACTACTAGAAAAAGTACTACTGAACTTTGCTTTTGTGCCTCTAATGTTCGATCTCATAAAATTTTCCCTTCATCTTTGCTCAGTCTTGCGAGTTACATTGTGCTCTTTATTCTGTGCTGTGACTTGCAGATCTCCCTCTTTGTTCTCATGTTTTCCCCTTAAATTTTGTGTTTCCTCTATAATCCCCTGTCACCAGCATAAAGGCAGAACCAGAACATAGCTTTCTGGTCCTGTATTTCTCTTTCAGTATGAGAATTCCTTCCCTTTTCCACCCTTGCTCTACTCCAGGGTGCTCTTATCCTGCTTTCACAGTATAGGGTCTGCTGTTAAATCCTGTCTGTGTTTTTTTTCCCTTAGGGCAGTACTGAACTCTTGATGGTTCTGAATTCCCAGTGTCTTTTCAATGCAGTACAATCCTCTTTCTCATGTCCTCTTTATCACATCTGATCAGATATGCCTTTAAAAATCAATTGTGATAAAGTAATATATGCTCCACCCAAGCAGCACCTCTTCCTGACTGCCAGTGACAAAATGTGTGTGTGAGTTGGGCAGTTGAGCTGTATTAGCCAAAAATACAAGTGGGGCTAGGTATGCTTTTTTTTCTGCAACCTGATGCAAATAGTAGACTCCTCAATGCCTTTTTTAAATGTGCAACTACTTGTGCATTTTTACGAGGAGAGAACATCAGAGAATAAAAACATTTAAAATAAAAACAATATGATCTGATCTTGCAGAACTGCTTTTGTGCCTGGCTGGTTATAAGAGCATTGCCTAGGGGAATTGTTAACTATAATCTCAAAACCCACATTTGATTCTTCTGGTATGCTGATTTGTAGTTCAGCAGGCAGTACTGATCTTTATGTGAAAATACATGACACTCTCTCACATTCAGGGAATATATTCATGTAGCAGTATCTCATGGCTAAGTTCGGCAAACCAAGTAGATAAGCAGTGATAACTGCAGCAGTTAATGTTTTTTTTTTCATTCCCTCTTTCTACCTAATTATACAATCTGGGGAGCCTCTACTTAAAGCAGTAAGTCAGTTCTGAAACGTGTATTTTTACAGGAATCCACTCAGACTCCTAGAGGTATTTTGCTATTGCTTGTGCCAAAGTGCATACAGATCCTAAGATTAAAGAAAAAAGATGTGCACTTATTATGAGTACACATAACCTTTGAAATAGTTTAAGCTGTAACAACACAGGCTCTTCAGCAAAGATGAAGCAGAGTAAAGAGACAAAGGAAACAACCTTCAGGATTCAGTCCTTAAAATGTAAATGTAAATGAAAGAACTTTCTAGTTGTTTTTGTCCCCAGATTACTTCTTTGCCAAAATGTGACTTATGAAGTGGTTTGGTCCCTCCTAAGATGCAAAGGAGTAGACAATCTGGGAGTCACTCTCACCCCAAGTTTAACTTGATTTCAGCTTCACTGTGGTCAGTGAAGAAAGAAAGAAAAGGGCACTCTGCTGATTTACGTCTAAGGGATGTCTGGCCTTTAGTGTAAAAAAATAGCCAGTAGTTCTTCCTTGGAAAGTTCTTCTTTCTGCATTATAAATTTATTTTAATTAAAATATAAAGATACTAGTAAAAAAATTGGTTCAATATTACTTTGGATATATTTCACTGTAGCCAAGAGCAAAAGAGGTCCCGTGTATGTTTGCATGTTTTGGATGACAGAATAATATAAGAATAAATTTACGTTTTTGTTTTCTACAGGAGCAGTGTCTGGAGGCTTCAACTTTCAGGTGACAGATGGTTTGAACTTTGTACCTCGCCAGATTTTTAGCATAGCAGCTCAGACACTAGTCATTACCCTTGAAGTAAACAAAGGACTTGGAGTCTTCCCAGGTCTGTTTTTAAAAATTATTGTGATTTCATACACTTGAAGAAGTTGCATATGTACAAATATGTATACATTTCTCAGATAGCTATCTGAGTAAACTATAGAAAACTGTACCTCAGAACATCTATCTGTCTGAGTTTTAAAAGAACATTTACATTTTCTCAAACAACATATTATTGTTTTATGATCTTTAATGTGCTTGGAGTCATGGAAATTGGCAGTGAAATACATAAGCACAGAGTGACAGCTACACTGTCCTCCTAAGCTCTCAACGTTTCCCCTTCATATTTGTTTAAAAGGTCAGTATTTTATTCATATATTTAGAGGTGTCTTAGCTGGTTGTATTTTGCCTGGTAAAAGCAGAGTGAAACTTGTGTCCATCGGATTATGAATGGCAAACATAACTCGCCAGATTGCTAATTCGCTTTCTTACTGTTTGAGCTGAGTTATGGACAGCAGCATTGAGTCACTGATTAATCAGGAGGACTGAAGACTTTGATTCATATTTGTGCATTTGTACTGGCTGGTTCAACAGCTGGGCATTTTTTTGGTGAAATCCTACCATGCAGGAGTTATGTGTTAAGAGAGTCTCACCAGATCCATTTACTACTTTGCGTTGGCAGGAGTAATCCCTCATTGAGTTAGTAATCTAACATTAATTGCAGGACTAAAGTTAAAATGAAGATTAGTCTTCTCTCAGCAGTGTCTTGCATTACACTTTAATGTGTGCTACTTTCTTTTTTGCTCTGAACATCTGTACGGCCAGAGAGAGACTGAGAATTGGTAAAGCTTTATAGGTATTAAACTATATCTTGAGTTGCTAATTTGATACAGAAGAGGAACATTTTAGTTTCTTAAGCTTCCTGGGTATAAGCTGCATAAACACAGGCTTGCAACAAAAGCTACTTAAACACAGGCAACAAAAAATGAGATTGTAGCAGCATGATCTTCTAATTCAGTCAATATAAATGGGATTCACATAAATCCACTTAAAAAGCTTATTAATCTGTGATTTGGTGTGTAAGGTTGCCTCAGGCACAGGGATTTATGGAAATTCTGTCTTAAGCTAAAAATAATTGTAAGAAAATTATACCTTATACTGCCATAGAAAGCAAAGACTCTAGGCTATCAATCTGTTTTCCAGTACAGATTGCAAAGTACAGTATTTCTTTCAGCACTGCAAACTATGTTCATCTAAGCCCACAGTTTTTCCTGAATTCTTGCTTACTTTGAGTTAGCAAAACTCCTTTTTGGTGTTAAAAAGTATTATTAGCTTTTTCATGTGTTTGCTTTATGATACTTTCTAAAGACGTTCTGGAAGTGTATGGGCTTCAGCTGTACATGCTGATCATGAAATAACTATTGCAGTAATGATACTGCCAAATGATTAATACACAGAAAAACAATAGCCAGTGTCCTGTTATATTTTATAGCACTGCAGGAAGAGTTAATTTTGAGACAACTTGAAGAATTGTGTCTCTAGGGAAGTAAAAATTGAAAATACCATGAAGAAGTTGCCGTGTCTTCATGACTGGGTGTTCTCTCAAGTATATTGTTCTGCAATTTTATAAGAGCATGTACTGTCTTCTTTTGTGTTGGATATACCAGATTTGTTCATATAATTCATGGATATTTTTTCTGTTTAACAGAAGCTTGTTTTATTTGATGTGCTCAGAAAACTGACTGATAGATTATTTTTTTCTCATGTATGCTAGATATCTAAAATGTGAGGGTTTGCTTTCTTCAGGGAAGCAATTGCTCAAGGAAGGAATGAACTGGGTTGCTCTTTGAGAAAGAAAGGCAGCCTTACTTGTAGGTATTTGTAAGCAAAGCTGTCTGAGCAGTCCATAGATGAGATGATTCATAACTGTTTAGCAGTAATAGGCAGAATGGTCATTACAAAGCACTTTCCAAGTCTTAAATGTAGGCAATTGAAAATGGGTACCAAAATTGTTAGGTACCAGTGATAGCCTTATGCTGTCATCTTTTACTTGTCTGGATTAGTTTGGCCCTACTGTACATCATCCATCCTTGTTGTGTGTCTTCCTTCCCATCTCTGTTCATTTTCCCTGTGTTTGTGTTGGGTTGCTTTTGCAACCTCTGTGCTTCCATGTTTGGGAACAAGGAGACAGTGTTCTCACTTCCCTTTCCTTCACGCAGTCTGTTGACTCTCTCTGTTGAGGTGTCAGACCACAGCATAACTACTGCAGGTGCTGGAAAAGGTTCTTAAGTCTCAGGACAGAAGTGGGTGAAGGAGCAGGTTAAGTTTGGCAGAGGATCTCATTTTTGCAGAAAAGCTTGAGAGACTTTATTGTCTGTGGCCCTAGACTGTATTTCATCTTGTGTAGCGAGTGACATCTGCACTGTGATGGTGGTGGTATGGTAATCTGTTGCTGTTATGAAAAACTGGAGTGGTAACTTCCATCAGTGCAGTGTGACCATGTTTGAGAGTTGTTCTCTCTTACTTTGTTAAGGCCATGAGGCTTTATTTGTGCAAGTAGGAGATTACTGAGAAATAACTGTGTTTGCAGATGCACCTGGTCTGATTAACTGTTGCTCTCAGTTGTACATTCCTGATCACATCTGCTATACACACAACACAAGGTCATGCTTCACTCTCAGCCTGTCATGCAAAAAAGGGAAGAGAGAGGAAGAGGAGGGAGACTCCTTGAAATTAGATACAGTGTGGAAGAATTTTTCTAGACCTGCGTGACTGCTTTACTTTTCAAAGCAGTATAGACAAAGAGAGGCATAGGAAGGTAAAAAGGGGAAAACAGGCAGAGCCAAAACATCTCATTTCATTATAACAACTCTATTTCAAATCAGATGTGATTTGAACCAGGGCACAAGTGCATGCAAACAGTCAGAATCCTGATGTTACTGAAGGCTTGCAGAGCATCACCATTCTTCGGTTTGCTTACTATATTTTTTCTTCTGATTATTATAGCAGGAAAATGTTATTTCGTGTTATTCATGTATAAACATTATGCTTCATTGAAGATGGATTGATAATTCAGACTTCTAGGATATATAATACTAGCATCTGAAATTACGTATTAGTACCTATAAAAGCTTCTAGCTCAAGAAAGAAAGAAAATGTAAAAATGGAGGCAGAAGTGGAAGCAGGGGGAATAGGATTATGGGAATCTATTGCTCCTCCAAAAGTATCATTAAACATGTACCATGAAACAGTGCATCAAAAAGAAGACAAATAAACATACTTTTTTTTTGTTTTGTCGCTATATCAACATTTATTTTGTTTGACTAATGCCAGAAAGCTCTTTATAATCTTTATAATATTTAAACCAGAATGTACTGTTTAGTGTGGTGCTATGTATTAAAAGGATTTTGTTATCCCTCAGTCTCCATCCATCTTAATAATACATTATTTTAGTTCAGGTCATTATTTCTGTGATGTGATGTTCTTCCTAATGTGTTTAATTCAGTATTTATGTTTTAATTTCATTTAATGAAAATCTTTCATATTGATAAAGCATGGTTCAAGCTGCCTGTAATAATCAATTTTGGTTTGTGTGTTCACTAGAAAGCTTGCTTGTTGAGGCTTTTCCCTGCCAAATCACCCTGCCTTCTGTGGACAGCTGGGATTACCAGAAACAGTGGTGACTGTTTTAATTCAGTTCTAGACATGTAATTTAGGAACAGGGATTCTTATGCGTGCTGTATTCTTTACTTTGGATTGTTTTTGCAGAAGCTAGTGTTTAGCAATTACATGCGCTGAAAAGAACTGCAGTTTCTTCATTTATTGTAAAACCAAGGTACATGCTAGTGATGGACTTTTTGATTGAAAAAGCTGTAGAAGAGTTGTAAGTAGAAGGTAACCAAAAAAAGGGTAAACCTGCTAATCTTATAAAACATTACTAAAATGCTGAGTAGAATAGCTAGATGAGAGGGTGAGACAAGCATACAAAACTTGCCTTTTGGGGCCCTTTGCTCTTTCAAATCTGTGTTACTTATAATTGACATCTTTTAGGTTCCAGGAAGCCTATTTCACGACATGATCTGAAAGCTGTAACCAGTGATGTGACCAATGCAGGAAACAGAACCATAACTTTTATGATTGTAACCTCCCCAAAACTTGGAAGGCTGATCAGAGTAAATTCTGATAATACTACTCAGGAAATCCTCAGTTTTACGCAGTCTATGGTAAGCATTTACTTTACAATACCAAGTTCAGGGGTAGATTGTTACTTCATAGGGCATCTCAGTTGCTTGTTCTTTGTCTGATCCATTTATATCTGTTAAATAACCAGGCATATGTGACCCATCAGTGCAATCACCCAGATTTGCTATGTCATTAAGTATCTGGCATCTAGTAATGAACACAGGAGGAGCCCTTTTCCCCCTCTACTTGGATACTAGCAGGGTCTTGGCAGTTTTCACTGTTTTGCTTGTAACGGTATTTTTCAGAAAGAGCTGTTCTGGTGCCATTAACCAGCAGTCCGAGGTTGGAAGCCTTTAGTTTTTGGCAGAAGGAGTAGCCTTTTGATCTATGAAAAATCCAAGTAGGAGATTAATTTCAGCTGTGCACAGTCCTCATGGGTGTCCCCAAGAGGACTTTTATTGACTTGATTGGCTGTGATATTAAGTGTTTAAAGAATCTTAGCTGTAATACAGGGACTCATATTTGAACGACTGAAACGTGGCAGCTCACGTAACTTGATGGAAAACATTCTTTTGCAACTGAAATGACTTCTGTCTGTGTCAGAATCTGAATATAACTGTGAGCTCTGCATGCAGTAAGTTATTTTCGGAAAATCTAAGTGGTAGAGGTAAAGGGAGTTCAGTATTAGGAAAAAATAAGAGATAACTTGGTTTTAACCTACATTTACACATTTTTAAAGTGGCTGTTTGATTAGTATATATGAAGGAATGAGAAAACCTATTGGCCAGAAATGAAACTTGACCAACAAAACCTGGAATAAAAGTTGACATTCTTACTAGTTATCATCAGACTTTGAAACAACCTGATGAAAGACTGTAATGAAATGAATCTCTGCTTGAACATTATAAATCAAGGCAAACACAGAATGTTGTAATCCCATTGTAAAAGTGTTGTAATCCCATTATGATACTGCTCTTGTTGCAATAGATGCCAAGTTTTCTCTTATGTTTTAATGGAGATGAACTGTATGATGACAATGTTCTCTTCTGTTCCTAAAATCTGTGATTTTTATGAGCATTAGGTGAAACAGTAAGCACATCAGATAGGAAGTCTTTCAGCTAAAGTTCTGGAATTTTACACTTTTTGCTTATGGGTATGGTCTTTACGTATGTTTATCAGATAGTGCCATGTCAGAACATGCCACTTACTCTCTATGGCTTTAGTTCTTGCTAATGTAAACCTAAATTTCCTTTGATCTTTGTAAATTGTGTGAGGATTTGAGCTGCAATAATGTGTATGCTTTTCTTCTCTGACAGAGGTATTTATACTGGCCATTTTTACTTCAGACAAAGTAGAGCTAAGTGACTTACTGCAGGTAGAATTAATGTATCTTAACCAGCATGCTGATTATTCTGGTATAGAATGAGGTATGTGGGAGAGAAAAGAGATCCTAAATAAAGCTTTCACTATTTAGTGTGTTGTAGGCACATGAAGCAAAATGACATTGATCTTGCAAACATATTCTTTATGTAATGGAGAATAAGACATTAAATTTCTTTTTGGTAATAAGAAGCTTGTAAATCTGATTTGAATTGAAGATACTAGTTCTTTGGATTTTTGTTAACTTAATTCTGTTGCAGAACTTGAAATTTCACTTCTGAAAAGTACTATGCTGCTAGCTTATAAAGATAGTTGTCAATTTTGCTATCTGAACTCTTCCCTGAGCCCTGTGGCTTATTGCTTCATTGCCAAAAAGCACTATAATTGAAATCACTATTACATTCCAAGAAATATTTTCATGAACGGTTGTAGTTCTCAATATAAGAAAATTAATTCTGCATTAAAAACCCTTATAGAATCATAGAATCATAGAATAGTTAGTGTTTGAATGGACCTTAAGATCGTCTAGTTCCACACCCCCTGCCATGGGCAGGGGCACCTCACACTAAACCATGTTGCCCAAGGAAGGCTCTGTCCAGCCTGGCCTTGAACACTGACAGGAGTGAAGTATTTACATTACAAGGGTGGAGCATTTACATTACAGGGGTGGAGCCCACTTTTTTGGGCAACCTGTGCCAGTGCCTCACCACCCTTACAGTAAAGAACTTCTTCCTTGTATCTAACCTGAACTTCCCCTGTTTAAGCTTTAACCCCTTACCCCTTGTCCTGTCACTACAGTCTCTAGTGAAGAGTCCATCCCCAGCATCCTTATAGCTCCCTTCAGATACTGGAAGGCTGCTATGAGGTCTCCACGCAGGCTTCTCTTCCCCAGGCTGAACAGCCCCAACTTTCTCAGCCTGTCTTCATATGGGAGGTGCTCCAGTCCCCTGATCATCCTCGTGGCCCTCCTCTGGACTTGTTCCAACAGTTCCGTGTCCTTTTTATGTTGAGGACACCAGAACTGCACACAATACTCCAGGTGAGGTCTCACAAGAGCAGAGTAGAGGGGCAGGATCACCTCCTTCGACTTGCTGGTCACGCTCCTTTTGATACAGCCCATAATACAGTTGGCTTTCTGGGCTGGGAGCACACACTGAAGCTGGCTCATGTTCATTTTCTCATCAGCCAACACCCACAAGTCCTTTTCTGCAGGGCTGCTCTGAATCTCTTCTCTGCCCAACCTGTAGCCATGCCTGGGATCGCTCTGACCCAGGTGTAGGACCTTGCACTTGGCATGGTTAAACTTCATGAGGTTGGCATCAGCCCACCGCACAAGCGTGTCAAGGTCCCTCTGGATGGCATTCCTTCCCTCCAGCGTATCAGCCGAACCACACAGCTTGGTGGCATTGGCAAACTTGCTGAGGGCGCACTCAATCCCACTGTCCATGTCAGTGACAAAGATGTTGAACAAGACCGGTCCCAGCACCGATCCCTGAGGGACACCACTCATTACTGGTCTCCAGCTGGACATTGAGCCATTGACCACAACTCTTTGTGTGCGGCCATCCAGCCAGTTCTTTATCTGCCGAGTGGTCCACCTATCAAATTGATGTCTCACCAATTTAGAGACAAGGATGTTGTATGGGACAGTGTTGAACACATCGCACAAGTCCAGGCAGATGATATCAACTGCTCTGCCCCTGTCCATGAGTTCCGTAGCCCCATCAGAGAAGGCCACCAAACTGGTCAGCACGATTTCCCCTTAGTGAAGCCATGCTGGCTGTCACCAAGCACCTTGCTGTTTTTCATGTGCCTTAGCATGCCTTCCAGGAGAATCTGCTCCAAGATTTTGCCAGGCACAGAGGTGAGACTGACTGGTCTGTAATTCCCCGGGTCATCCATTTTCCCCTTCTTGAAATTGGGGGTTATATTTCCCTTTTTCCAGCCTTTGGGAACTTCACCTGACTGCCATGATTTTTCAAATATGGTGGACAGTGGCTTCGCAACTTCATTTGCCAGCTCCTTTGGGACCTGCGGATGAATTTCATCAGGTCCCATGGACTTGTGCACGTTCAGGTTCTTAAGATGGTCTCAAACTAGATCCTCTCCTATAGAGGGTCCGAGGTCTTCATTCTCACAGTCCCTATGTCTGCCCTTCCACTTGAGTAACACAGTAGTTTTCAACATGATGTTTGGGGTTTATTTCTCTGCCAATACTTTCTGTGGTATCTTGAAAGTATTTTCATCTTGCCGCAAGCCACAGTTTCTTTGTTATATTTAAAATCATTGCAGAGGTAAACACAGAAATCCTTACCAATCCCATTTTCTTCTTATCCCAGATATAAGCATGGTCTTGCAACTGAAGAAAACCACCCCAGCTTATTAAGATTGATACTAAACACTGTTGGATTTAAAGAATACATATTGTGCCTGTTCTTGTTACATATATTAACATTCTCCAACTTGAGGTTCTAGATACATGCTTTGGGAAGTTACCCTGAACCAGTGTGTCATTTTAGTATCTGTTTTGTCCTACAATAGCCATTAAGAATTAAATCAGTATAGGGAAAGTACAAAACTGGAGATGTGCCTATAGGATTTTATCACATCAGTCTGAATTTTTTAGACAATGAGATGGGATGGTTTTGAGTCAGCTGAGAAAACTGACCCTGAAAGCCCTGTTTCTCTAGTGATCTCAGTGGGGTCTGTTGCGGTAATTTCAGGATTAGCTCTCTCTGTAGTCACAACTCAGATTCTATACTGCTAAAGTGCTTCATCTATGATAGCAGCGGTGGACAGGGAGGGGGTTGCGAGCAGGGTGTTTTCTTTTTTCACACCTTTCAAACATATGTGATAGGAAAGCATGGTAGTGAGTTCCTTCAGGGTGTTTGCAGCCTGTTATGAATAGTAAACTTAGAATCAGCACCATGTGAGACAGGGATCTTTCTGGCCATTATGAACTAACACATGAAAGCCAGGTCAGTAGTTCCCTGGGAAGTTGCCAGGGATTTAATAGGTAGAGCTGTCTTCTCTGCAAGCCAGTGAATGAATTATCAAGCAGACCAGATACTGAATCTACTGGATGAGATTTAGTAAGAGTTCTGGTCTTGTGGTTATTAGGAATCCTATTGCAGTTTCAATATATCATGGTATTGATCTTAAAGTGTAGGTGTGGAATGAGAATCCTAGTCTGAAAATTCTGCCTTTTATTTGGGGCCTAAAGAAGTAAAGGGTTGTATCTTGTATAAATATGTTTCTCTGAAGATTGACTGCAGCATTTCGCAGTACTTTGAAGCATAGACACTCATGCTGGGATTGATTGGATTCTCTTGAGTGTGATGATTTGCAAAGTCAATGAAGGCAGGTATAGGACAAACCAGATCCATTTGTGACTCTTGGGAATCCCCTTCTTGCTGTGATGCAGGAATTTTTCACTAAATAATCTCATCAGCTCTTGGTTGTAAATGAGATTGTATTTCAGTGGTTACTGCACCTCCTTCTGTTTTCCACAGTCCCTTACCAACTGTGTTTGCCTATTCATCATGAAAGACCTGCATCAGAGTCCTTTTCAAGCCTTCAGTCTTTCATACGCTTTTTCAGGACAATGAGTCCAGATCCACTGGTATCCTTATAAAGAAAAAACCCTAGATATGAAACTCCAATTCATTAAAAGTACAGTCCAGCTAAGGTCCTGTTTGCCATTGCTAGTTTGAGATGAATTTCTCAGTGTTTTATATCTCTGTTCATCACATGAGGACTTTAGTAGATATTCATGCACAGTAACATTTCACCTGCCTTCAGGTAAGCTTGTCTGGTAACACAGAGTCCATCTTATGAGAAGAATTTTGAGGTAATCTCAGTGTATGTTACATACAGGCTTGATCAGTGGGCTGAGGCAAATTGTAGGAGATTTAACAAGGCTAACTGCTGAGTCCTGCACTTGGGCCACAACAACCCCATGCAATGCTACAGGCTTGGGTAAGAGTGGCTGGAAAGCTGCTTGGCAGAAAACCACCTGGGGGTGTTGGTCAACAGCTAGATGAACATGACATAGAGGGGTCACAGGACCACGTCAGTGATCATTCCCCTGCTCTCGGCACTGGTGAGGCTGCACCTCGAATCCTGTGTTCAGTTCTGGGCCCCTCACTATGAGAGAGATATTGGGGTGCTGGAGCAGGTCCAGAGAAGGGCAATGAAGCTGGTGAAGGGTCTGGAGTGCAAGTGTGATGGGGAGCAGCTGAGGGAACTGGGAGTGTTTAGTCTGAAGAAAAGGAGGCTCGGGGGGGACCTTATCACTCTCTACCTGAAAGGAGGTTGTAGTGAGGTAAGTGTAAGTCTTTTCTGCCAGGTGGTAGGCAATAGGACAAGAAGTTGCGCCAGGGTAAGTTTAGATTGGCTATGAGGAAAAATTTTTCACCGGAAGTGTTGTCAAGCATTGGACCAGGCTGCCAAGGGTGGAGTCACCATCCCTGGAGGTCTTTCAAAACTTGTAGATATGGCACCTAGGGACATAGTATATTGGTGGACTTGGCAGTGCTGGGTTAACGATTGGGCTTGACTGTAAGTTTTTTTTCCTATGATCCTGTATAAACTTTGTGGTCTAAGGTACAAAGGCTTTCTTGAACAGTGTTCCAAATATTCTTTTTCCTGTCTTTACACTTCTGTGTTATAAGTGTCTCTCCTCTTACATCTGTGGCTTCCCTTCACCTGAAACAGGTGGATGAAGGTGTGATCATGTATGAGCACTTACATGGTGAGTCAGCTGGCTGGAGTGCAGAAGATTTCTTCACATTTACTGTCTCCTCTCCACCATCAGCTCTGGACCTACACGTGTTCCATATTGTTATTTCATATGAAATTACAACGCATGATCAGAACACTCGTTTTCTGGCAAATACAGGTAAAGACACTGTACAGTTTGGGCTCCAAATTTGTTTTGATCTGTCAGGGTTCTAATGAATAAATGTGAAAAAACAATGCTACTTTCTCATCTGTAACAAATGACTAAAATACCTTTTTAGTAGAGTGTAGTGTAGACAGTAGCTTGGAAACCTGCATCACTGCATCTTTAAAAATGAGATTATCTGCATTTGATCCTTCCAGCTGCTGTATTCTCCATTTTGCTGTGTTGGTTCCTCCAGTGTATGGATGATAACTTCCTCCTGCAAATGGTGGATGAGCTGACCAGGAGAGGAGTGCTGCTGGATCTCATCCTCACTAACGAGGATCTGGTTGAAGCAGTAAGGGTTGAGGGCTGCCTTGGTTGCAGCGACCACGAGATGGTGGAGTTCAGGATCTTGTGTGGTAGGACTAGTAGAATAGCAAGTAGAATTGCAACCCTGGACTTTAACAGGGCAAACTTTGGCCTTTTCAAGCAATTGCTAGGGGAAATCCCATGGGCAAGGCTGCTTGAAGGTAAAGGGGCCCAAGATAGTTGGTTGACATTCAAGGACTGCTTTTTCCGTGCTCAAGATCGGAGCATCCCGACACGTAGGAAGTCAAGGAAGAGGGCCAAGAGACCTGCGTGGCTAAATAGGGAATTGCTGGGTATGCTCAAGTGGAAGAGGAGAGTTTACAGGTCATGGAAGGAGGGGCTGGCCACTTGGGAGGAATATAAGGCTGCTGCTAGAGGATGTAGGAAGGCAGCTAGGATGACTAAGGCCTACTTAGAATTAAACCTGGTGAGAAGGGTCAAGGACAGCAAAAAGAGCTTTTTCAAATACATGGCAGACAAAACTAACACCAGAGGCAATGTAGGCCCACTGATGAACGGGATGGGTGCCCTGGTGACAGAAGATGCAGAGATGGCAGAGTTACTGAATGCCTTTGTCTCTGTCTACTCTGCTGCAGGCAGTCCTGAAGAGCCCTGTACTCCTGAGACCTTAGATGAAGTCAGGTTGACGGAGCGGTTTGCCTTAGTCGATGAGGAATGGGTTAGAGACCAGTTGAGCAATCTGGACATCCATAAATCCATGGGTCCAGATGGGATGCACCCGCAGGTGCTGAGGGAACTGGCGGAAGTCATTGCTAGACCACTCTCCATCATCTTTACCAAGTCTTGGGAAACGGGAGAGGTGCCTGAGGACTGGAGGAAAGCAAATGTCACTCCAGTCTTCAGAAAGGGCAAGAAGGAGGACCCGGGTAACTATAGACCGGTCAGCCTCACCTCCATCCCTGGGAAAGTGATGGAACACCTTATCCTTGGTGCCATCTTAAGGCATATCAAGGATAAGAGGGTTATGAGGGGCAGTCAACATGGCTTCACCAGGGGGAAATCATGTTTGACCAATCTCTTAGCCTTTTATGAGGAAATAACACGGTGGATGGATGATGGCAGAGCGGTGGATGTGGTCTACCTTGACTTCAGCAAAGCATTTGACACAGTCTCCCACAGCATCCTCACAGCTAAATTGAGGAAGTGTGGACTGGATGATCAGGTAGTGAGGTGGACTGTGAACTGGCTGAAGGAGAGAAGCCAGAGAGTTGTAGTCTATGGGGCTGAGTCTAGTTGGAGGCCTGTAACTAGTGGAGTGCCTCAAGGGTCAGTACTGGGACCGGTATTATTTAATATATTCATCAATGATTTAGATGAGGGAATTGAGTGTATTATCAGCAAGTTTGCTGATGACACTAAGCTGGAAGGAGTGGCTGACACGCCAGAAGGCTGTGCTGCCATCCAGCGAGACCTGGACAGGCTGGAGAGTTGGGCAGGGAATAACTGGATGAAATACAACAAGGGAAAGTGTAGAGTCCTGCATCTGGGCAGGAACAACCCCAGGTTCCAGTATAGGTTGGGGAACGACCTGTTAGAGAGCAGTGTAGGGGAGAGGGACCTGGGGGTCCTAGTGGACGACAGGATGACCATGAGCCAGCACTGTGCCCTTGTGGCTAAGAAGGCCAATGGTATCCTGGGGTGTATTAGAAGGGGGGTGGTTAGTAGGTCGAGAGAGGTCCTCCTTCCCCTCTACTCTGCCCTGGTGAGACCCCATCTGGAATATTGTGTCCAGTTCTGGGCCCCTCAGTTCAAGAAGGACAGGGAGCTGCTGGAGAGAGTCCAGCGCAGGGCAACTAAGACGATTAAGGGAGTGGAGCATCTCCCTTATGAGGAAAGACTGAGGGAGCTGGGTCTCTATAGTTTGGAGAAGAGGAGACTGAGGGGTGACCTTATTAGTGTCTATAAATATATAAAGGGGGAGTGTCACGAGGATGGAGCCAGGCTCTACTCAGTGGCAAACAATGATAGGACAAGGGGTAATGGGTGCAAACTGGAACACAAGAGGTTCCACTTAAACTTGAGAAGAAACTTCTTCTCAGTGAGGGTGACGGAACACTGGAACAGGCTGCCCAGGGAGGTTGTGGAGTCTCCTTCCCTGGAGACATTCAAAACCCGCCTGGACACATTCCTGTGTAACATTATCTAGGTGTTCCTGCTCCGGCAGGGGGATTGGACTAGATGATCTTTCGAGGTCCCTTCCAATCTCTAGCATACTGTGATACTGTGATATGGTGTGTGAAAAGCTTTTGGAATATAGATATTTCTTAATGCATGCATCAACAGAAAATCTTGTCTCGTGTATGTGCCTGTATTTTTAAGCATAGTGGTAATGTATTTTTAGCCATGACATATGGAAATCAAGGATATTATGAAGGAGAATCTTTACTGAGCATCATCAGTGTTTGATAGCTAATTTCTGAAACATTACAACTATAAAATACTCAATTTCTAAGATTCTCTTTACCTTTCTGCTAGGTGCCACAGTCCAGGAGGGAGGTAGAGTATTAATCAACAGAACAAATCTAGATGCTTCAAATCTATTGGTTAAGCTACCTAAGGTGCAGCGCTCCACATATGAAGTCTGGTATCAAGTTATATCTTTACCCCAACATGGTGTGGTAGTTGCTGGAGAAAGAAACATTACCAAAGAAAAACCCAACTTCTCCCAATATATATTGAACAAATTTGGAATTGTGTACATACATGATAATTCTGAATCACTTAAGGACAATTTCACTTTTGCTGTTTGGTTAAACCTAAAGAGCAAGTCTGTGACAAAGCCCCATGGCGAAGTTTTAGAAGAGACATTTAATATCACAGTTGTTCCAGTGAATGACCAAGCTCCAGAACTGAAGACTAAAAGGCTGCACTTGAAAGTCTTGCAGGGAGATGTGTCAGTGCTGGGGTCAGAGCATCTGAAAGTTGAAGACCTAGATAACGCCCCAGTTGAGCTCAAATACACCATTGTTAATAACCCCAATAATGGTTATTTAGCAATGAAAAGCAATCTCAGTGTCTCTATAAATGATTTCACACAAGCTGATGTTGACAGTGATAAAGTTTGGTTCGTACAGGATGGAAGTTCATCTTCTGGGGTGTTTTATTTCAGTGTGACTGATGGTAAGCATCGCCCTTTATACAAGCTATTCAGTCTTGAAGTCATACCAATCACTCTTGTCCTGGTCAACCTGACCAGTGTTGCGCTTCCACAGGGCCAGACATCTGTCACTATTACTAATGTACAGCTTTCAGCTGTCACAAATGGAAAAAGCACTAATATCATATATGAAATAACTCAGCCGCTCAAATACGGGCACCTGATGATTGGAAATGAACAGGTTACTAAATTTGAGCAGGCAGATTTGTACTCAGGAAAGTTGTGTTACCACTTGACAAACCTCACTGCGTCCAAAGAAGTACTAGAGTTTATGCTTTTCACTACAGAATGCAATCTAACAGGACAAGTGCTGAACATCACAGCGAAGCCTTTAGTACAAGTTGTATCTGACATGCAGATTTCAAATCAAGCAGCTTATAAATTCAGAAGCAGTGACCTGGATGCTTCCGAGCTAGCTAATTTGACAAATAGCAATCCTAGATTTGAAGTGATAGTGCCCCCATCTCATGGAAGGATTGTAAAGAAAAGGTTTGTGAATGATGTAGTGTTCGAAGACATTCAGACATTCACCCAGGCTGACATTGATAGCGGTGTTGTGCTTCTAGACGTCGATACGAATATGACGGGCATTGATCTGTTAAATGACTCATTCACATATATACTTAGGGCAGATGCTGTGCAGCCTGCTGTTGGCTGTTTTCAGTATTCCATTGTGCCACACAGTCCCCCACTTGTGCAGGGTTTTACAACTGAAGTGCCTTCCATAACCAGCATGACCACTTTAAAGGTTCACGCTACCTCAAAGGACAAGGGAGCAGCCCTTTTTCAGAATGAAGAGCCTACAGCAGCACCACAAAAGACTGAACCAACCATGTGGCCAGGTCAGAATCGCTGGGGAAATCTACATGAAGAAGGTCCATTGCTAAATCTGGCAGTGGGAACAAGTGGATCTGCAGGGACTAAGACCACAACCCAGGGTAATGCCAGGAGTCCCAGAGATCAGGCAGGTCAAAGTAGCAACCGTTGGTACATCATTATCCCCCTAGTCCTGTTGTCTGTGCTGCTCATTGCTGCTGTCATTTCTGTGTGCATTTTGCTAATGTGTCAGAAGAAAGAGAAGAAAAAAACACTTGTCAAAAGTCAAACAACCACAGTCCTCAGTAGTCCAGATCGATGTCTGGAACGGAGCTTGACTGTACCCAGCGTCACAGTGACTACTCTCTGGAAGGGTGTTGAAAGAAATACAGCCTCACCATTCATGGCCATAAGACATGAACAGCTGCTTCCTGCAGTAGTTTCTCTCACTGTAGAACAGTCTCCTCAAAACAGCTGGTTAAACCTTGATCCTGAAATGATCCAGTACTGTCGAAAAACAAACCCAGCTTTGAAGCACAATCAATACTGGGTGTAGTTACAGCAAATTTTGGTCATGCTGACTGATGTAATATGGAAAAGACAGCATACATTGTTCATGAGTAATTTGTTGTTTATTACACTTATTTATTATAGGTCAAGTGATGCACTGTTTGCTAGATGAAATCCACATCCCTGTGAAATAATAATAAAAGTGTTACTGATCACAGTAGATAAAGTAAGATTTCCAGTTGGTACTTCAATGCAGAATTTGGCCCTATAGATTTTGACTGCACCTTGTTTATGCAATATTTTTAGTGTTGCAAGTGTAAAACAGAATGTTCTGTCATAGATTATATTATTTTTATTATAATGACTTTTTGAAGAACCAAGTTTGCTATAAAAGTCTGGTACTTTTTCCTGAACCACCACTTCTATTTGAAGAACTTTCAACTGTTTCTATATGTAATTGCCAACATCAAGTTGTCGAGGTGCTAATCTCAATAGTGTAATTTTGACCCAAAGGCTCTTCAGACACCAATATTAAAGAAACAGAGATGTTATTATTTTGACAAGTATTCATCTGGGACACAGAACTGAAAGTCTAGAATTCAATTCAGCAGTAACAGTAGATGCGGATTCCAGTAAATTACTCTTGCTGTGAGATACTTGTTTTTTTTTTCTCTTACTTGATACTGAACTGTAGCCTTTCATGTCTGCAAACTGGTAAAATGTACCCATGACTCCTAATCCACATGGCAAAAACTGTGTCTCTGCCAGTCAGCCTGTCAGCTGCGTTACCTTTAGGCTTAGGTTATGTCTGGAAGTAGACATCAAAACACTTAACTGAGGTGTGTTGTCATCCTGGTCATACCAGAGAGGGACAAATCATGGCAACTGCTGGGGCTTGGCCTACACTTACAGAGCCTTGTTCAACACCATCCAGCACCTTCAAAGAGAAAAAGATGTCTCTGGATCTGATGGTAAAGCAACAGACAACGCAGCTACTCCAACTCCAAATACAGCACTGCACCAGCTACTAAGAAGGAGACAAATGACTGCTACTGCTGAACCCAGGACACCTCCTCATGACAACAGGCTAAATTCTGCCTTCAGTAAAACAAACACAGCTCTTTCTGGAGTCTGGTAGTTCAAGCAGATAACGGTAGAATCAAGTCTTCTGTTGCATCCTGTTGTATGTTGGGGAGCTACTTAAAGAAACAATTCTGCAAAGAAGTATGTATACCCTTCTGAAGTTTTAGAAGTTACACTTCACCTCCAGAACGCATGTGCCTTACACACTATGACAAGTCCTACCTATTCTAATTCTTCTCTGGTGGTAAAATGTGCAATAATTGCCCTGCTAAGGGAGTTTTTTTCTGTTTCTGGGAGTCCAAGTTCAATAGTGATGTGCAGTCTCCAGTTAAGGTCCGGTCTTTTTTCCACTGAGAACAACAACAAAATTCTTGTTGACTTCAGAGAATGAACTGACTTCAAGTGAATGTTCCTCACTAGCCACTGAACATAATCTATTTTTGTACTTTTGCATTCCTACAGCTTCCAGTTAGCTTTTCTGTAAAAACACTGTGCTCAGTATGAGGATGCAGTCTCAGCACTGCAGTCACTTAGTTAACACTGGAATTTTTATTTTGAGCCTAGGTACTGCAGATTTTGATTTTATAGAACAGATGTATGGGCCTTTACATCCTTGGTGCTATTCATTTCACACTACTTTGTTTTGGATGATTTTTTGTTGTTGTTGATGATTACCTGTGTTTATATCATTTATATATTTTAAATTTTTACCTGTGAGGAGGGCTGCTTACTGCTGTATTCTGGGAGCTAAACACAGGAGCAGTGGGGACAGTCTTTCTCACCTTTACCACCTCTGCCATAATTGTTGTGCATTTTGAAGCAGTGCATTTTTCAGAGCCCACTTCAAGGACAGCATTCCATGTCACTGGAAAATATGCAAGCCACATTTTCGGCTCCAAGTGGAACACTAGAAACTAAAGATACAAACCCTTTATAAGCTCAAGCTAAAGTGTATTTGAACACTTTTTGTATTTCTCTGTCATTACCATATTTCCCTGATGCCAGTATGAGCAGATTTGAATTCAAGCAGTATATAGCCAGTGTAAAAGGCTTAGGGTTTTCAGGTGCACTGCTGCAGATCTGTGCTTCAGACCTTTTCTGCTTTTCCAAACAAAATCATTGGGACTGTTTCTGGAAACTCATCCAGAGAAGTGGTGCTGCCAGCCCCCACAGGGACACCCCAACATCTTTTGTAGAGGTGCAGCTGTACATCTCTTTACTGTTCTCTAAGACCACCAATTCTGCTACTACCGAGAACACAGCAGTTTCTTCCAGATCTCAGCTGTCAGCAGCAGTCTGCCTCTGATGCCTTCTAGCCCGTAGCAGGAGCCTGATCCCTTTACGCCTCCTCCAAAGCCTCACTCCAAGAAGGAGTAAAGCATTATAATCCCTACACTTTCCTGACACTTAAAGAAGCCCATCTCACATTTCCCTCCTTCTGAGACCTTCCTGTCACCAGCAAAAGAGGTGTCATACGCCAGTGCCTACCAGGAGACCAAGTGATATGCTTCTAATTTAGTACTAAAATAGTGTAGTGCTAAATGCTGCTGGAGTGGTGACCAAATCCACTATTGACAATTTGCTGAATGTGTTGTTGTAAAGACAGGTGTGCCAAAGTTGTGGTGCTCTGTGTGCAGTGGGGATGAAACATATCTGCTGTAGTGCTGGCAGTGGTAAAAATGAGACCATGACATACTAGCAACTGAGTTGAAAAAACAGCAATGCGATTAGAAACACATAATAGAATGGGCATTCTTAAATTTCAGCATTCGCATGCTCTGAGCAAAAAATTGTACATCAAAAATACAGAAAAGATGGTGTGTTGGCTTTTTGGCTCCAGCTGAATGGGCTGAACTCTTGTTCTCCAGAATTGGAGAACATTCTCCAGAATGATTCTGGTTAACAACAGGTGTTCATTTCAAGTAGATCAGGCATTATGGAATTGTATTTTAAACATTGAGGTTTGGGGTTTTGTTCGTTTGTTTTTGTTTTTTTGTTTGTTTGTTTGTTTTTTATTGGTTGGTTGTCTTTTGTGTGTGTGGGGGGGAGGGGTGGTGTATAGAAAGAGACTAAATGCCTAATTCATCAGTAAATGTGCCAGCATTCAGTTTTCTCCCCTAGTTGGTGCTACTATGAGACAACCGTGCCATATTATGGAATGTTTTGATGAGAACTTCATATCAGTATATTGTATCAGTATATTTTAACTGACAACTACATATGGATTTGCTTTATATCATACCCTGAATTCCCAGTGTAAAAAATGAGATCTGATTGCGTTGACGTAATTCCCTGTGGACAATGCAGAATAGTCTCTGGCAGAGGACAGTTCACCTTGTTCTTACATAGATAATAAATATGAGGGGCATCAACTCTGGGTGAGCTGAGGTGACTGGCTTAGCTAGGAGTCCCACTTTTAGATGGTAAAAACTCACTGGGATGAATCTCATCCTGGGTTTCCTAAATACCAATCAATCTAGAAATACCTCTCATCCAAAACATTTTGTACTTACAGATTATATTTGTGATTCCAGGAATGTACGCAGTTCACGGTCAGGATCTGGTTTGAATTTTTTGCTTGTTTCATTTAACCTTGAAGTTATGTGCTTAATCTTAATTTAGTGAAGATGGGGTTTATGAGGGATTACCTTTCTTACCAAATGGAGTTCTAAACTGCAGCCTGAAAGTGCCTTGAAAACATATGTAAAATCAATAAAGTGTTTATAATCCACATGCTTATGTGTTTGTGCTTTTTTTAAGGACCTCTTACTGCAGATGGTGCAGAAACACCACAGCGTCCCACTGCCAGTAACAGTGTTCTTCCAGATCTTCTGTGTTTATTTTTCAAATCGCACATGTGATGAGATCGCTATTGTGCTGTTGTGCCCAGCGTTGTGCCTCTAACACAATGCATGCAGCCAGGAAAGTAGAGACATACCATTAGGCATCTACCTGGACAAGTTTAGCAAGTGATGACTGTAACATAGAAATAAATGCATTGATTTCAGCTTGCTCAAAGAGGACTGCGCTGAATTTAATTCACTAAATTGTTCTGTTTAACTACATGTGCTTGGAAGATTTTAAAATACAAAATTCTTAAATGTTAGTACCTTAGGGCTCTTTTGTCTCCAATTTTCGTCTTGAGCTGCAATACACACTCACTGCAGCCTGACCCCAAATGCATTGTTCAATCTGATCTTGATATTTTGTTGATCAGAACTTAGCTGTGTGTAGCTGTTCTTGTAGCTTGAGATAAGGAACCTTTTCTTGAGACGTCATCGATGGTGGCGGACCCGGGGCAGCAGCTTCCTCTGTGCCATGACTCAGTACCGGAGCACAGAAACTCTGTCAGCGGTAGTGGCACTTGGTCTTGGGTCATGTCCTCTCATCCAGCCCCTCTACAACTCGGAAAATGAGTTGGGAGGAAAAGAAAATAGGACAGAAATGGTCATAAAACTGTTGTTTTTTCAGTTATTAAAATACTAGTAAGGGCCAGCTTTTGCTGCAGTAGCCTGTTCCCACATGTAAGGCTGAATTCAGCAGTGAATCTGCTTACGTGTCCTGAGCTACAGACCTCCATCGTGCTTGAACTGTCCTTGTGATGTTGTACTGAAGTACATTCTGTGAACATTTTTAAACAGGCTGAAAGTAATTGTCCTGGCATATTCAGTGGAAACTCTATTAATTTATCTTCACTCATTTCAAGTTAAATAATTCCTGCCAGATCTTGCATATTCCAAATGCAGTCCCAGAACAAAATGTTCTTTCCCTGCAACTGGTGAAATCTCTCACTCTGGTTGTAGGGAGGCTCTATATGGTGAAATGCTTGCTTTACATGATTATTTCGTCATTTCCAGTGTTGCTCATTGGTTATTTCTGTACTAACCATAGAATAGTTTGGGTTGGAAGGGGCCTTCAAAGCTCATCTAGTCCAACCCCCTGCAATGAGCAGAGACATCTTCAACTACGTGAGGTTGCCCAGAGCCACATCCAGCCTGGCCTTGAATGCCTCCAGGGATGGCACATCTACCACCTGTCTGGGCAACCTGTTCAGTGTTTTACCACTCTCATTGTACAGAATTTTTTTCTCACATCCACCTGAATCTCCCCTCTTTTAGTGTAAAACCGTCACCCCTCATCCTACCACAACAGGCCCTGCTGAAAAGACTCTCCCCATCTTTGTTATAGGCCCCTTTCAAGTACTGAAAGGCCACAATAAGGTCTCTCCAGAGTCTTCTCTTCTCCAGGCTGAACAGCCCCAACTCTCTCAGCCTGTCTTTGTTCGGGAGCTGCCCCAGTCTTCTGGTCATCTTCATGGCCCTTCTTTGGACCCTCATATGTGTTGGTAAGCACTACCAGACATGAAATTCTTTGTAGATTGGGTTTTAGCCTCAGAAGCTTTGCATGGCATCATACTGAGAGGGCATCAGGTCTCAAATTAGCTGGAGAAGACCGAAGACTGAGCAGATTGAGCATTAGTACGGGATAGTAGCGAGTGTCAGAACTTCTGGCAAGAACAGAGGGAATAGATCAGAATAAACATGCAATTTATAGCATATGACTGATCACAGTGATTTGCTCCAACAAATATGCTGTACAATTTCATCTTCCATAGTAACTTTTAGGTATGGTGCATGAAAACACATTGATGAGGAAATTCTCAAGAGAATTAAATAGTTGTAAGAATCAAAAGTTTAATTTAAAAGTACCTATTCAAGTACATATACATGTAATTGAATCTGTTAAGGGAGAGGCACATAGGAAGTTGGTTTGAGACATACAAAGCCATCAGGAAGCTTTTTTGCTAGCACAGGGTGCTGAGGAAGAGGTTAGTTAGAGAGCTAGGGGAGGATAGGAGGATGGGGCAGAGGCAAGTGGTCTGGGGTTAGAGGGGGGTTGTAAAAAGAAGGTAGTTTGGAAACAGACCCATGGGCTTGTTGGAAACACAGAGGTGACATGCTGGGCTGTGTCTCAGGGAAGCAGACTATGATGCAGCATCCTGCTTGGGGAGCTCACCTCACTGCCAGAGGGAAAAGCAAGAATCAGGGTGATGAGTTTTGTTCTCATTAGAAGGGACAGCTGTGCCTGGTGAGGGTGGGAAGACTTAGAAGGTCAGTTTGCTCTTTCTTCTGCTTCCCCCTGCAGCTGGCAGGAGATCTCATAGAAGTCAATCTGCTGTGGCATGAACTTTTTGCATGTTGACTTACTTACAAGCTGCCTGTCAAGAAGTCCAGTTGTGGGGGCTCATCAGAGCAGATCAGACCTCTAAAATCCTTCCATTGCCCAGTCTGGCTGAGCTGAGTTGCCAAGGGTGTAACTCAGATGTTAAAGCCTGTTGGCATGAGTGTTGCCTTAAAAATAGAGCTGCAATGTTCCTGTTGCTTTAGTCAAGGTGCAGAAAGGAACAGGGTGAAATTGCCTGAAGTTTGGACTGATAGTAATCACAATTAATGATTAATGGTAAATCTAGTTATCTGCAGATACTGAAAAGTATTTATAAATAACGCAATAGAGGTGTTGATTTTGAGCACTGAGTACATGCAAACAAAGATGCACCTGAGCTTAGTCCTTGAAAGGAATTGAAGTAGCTAGAGGACTCATCTCATTTACACATGGCTGCACAGAACACTGTTGAAGAGCAGTTCAAGGACTAAGATTAGACCAGCTATAAGCAGAAATGAAAAAACCCCAATTGACTGCTTTATAGCAGTCAATCTTGGTCAATCTGTATTTTCCATCCCATGCCCTATACTCTCCTAGGAATGCTGCAGAATAAGTAACCATCAGTGAGACAAGTTGCCTATTTTCCTTCCCTGAATCATCTTGCTCCTGGTTGTGTACTTCGGTTCATGAGTCTTCCCTGTTGTGTTAATTTCTGGGATTCTAAGATGTCTCATTGGTGGTCCTTGGTTGTGAGTATGGGATCCCCCCTTAGAAGCCCAGTACTTCTGTGCATGCTGTTCATGAGCCACTGGGGCTCCACTGATACGTGTTGTGGTCTAGTCTAATCTGAACCCACAATTTACACTTACAGACACATTAAACCCATTTCTGCTTCACTGGTTCCCCAGAAAGCTTGAATGTTTGTAAAACAGTGGGTTTATAATGCCCCTCAGTGATGCCACCGCTTGGGAAGCAGCTGCTTGTTCCCCCAGTATCTAGCTGAGCTGCGGCATGCTCTGTGCCTGGCAGACCAGGTTCATTTGGCAGTGTCTTTCATGTCATACCAGGCTATGACACAGGCAAAGGGCGAGAGCCTTCTCTCTGCCTGGACTCTGCACTGCTTCAGCCATTAGGAAGAGGTCTTCTCTTGCATCTTGAGGATTGCAGCTGCTCTCAGGGGTTGTTGACTAGTACAGCTCTGCTCTGGTTTCATGAACTCCCCACATCCACGCTAATGGGGAATTCTCAGCCTGGCAGCTGTGAGCAGAGATACTTCACTAAGAAAACCAGAAGTACCCACGTTCTGCTTTAGAGTTTGAACTTCCTTTTAATACATAAATAAATAATCTTTCTTTTTTAAGAAACACAAATCCAGAACAAGAATATATGAGCACATACATAAATCTGAGCTTCTGCCAGATATATAAGTGCAATTATAAAGCAGAAGCAATTATAATAGTTTGAAACAGTGCATCACCTCCCAGGCATCAGAGCTACAGTTTCTATAGGATGGATGTGGTAACCTGAATGCAGCTTTGCCCATTACTTCAGTGTCACTTTATGCTATTGCCAATTGTGGATGTTGTCATTTTCTCCAAACAAGCCTGACCTCCTAGGAAGTTTACTTGTCTGTGTTCTGTGACACTTGTCTGTGTTCTGTGACATGGTTTAATGCTCACTGGTCACAAGTCATCAATACATGTTTCTTTAGTTTATGGGAAAGCTCGATGAGAAGCTGTTCCAAGTACACAGAATTTGGAACAGAAAGTTTCTAATACTTCAAGCGTTTGAAAGTCTTTGAAACGCCAGAGCTATTGGATTTGGTAAGTGTATTTCAAGCAATAGCATGGCTG